TCTTTCCAGTTTTCTTTCCTGGTAACCACAATCTTCTAATATTTAAATGTTGCTGCTGTCATTTGCTATCTTCTAGCTTCTTTTCAAATCCCATTCATTTTTTTTCAAAAGCAAGAAAAGTGTGTACAACTGACAGTTTAGATATTCTGAATGGATTTGGTGCTTTTGAAGTCTCAATCTGTGTTTAAGAATATAACTTTTTTAGGGCGTTTTTGGCAATCCTCAACCTATTCATGTTCCCAGTATTATATCATTTTCACTTCCTGTAACACTCTGCTTACTCGTTGTATTCCCGCTTCATTTGGGATGACATGATTAAAAAAAATGAATGAAATTCAATTATGGGAAATGCGATCAACACTGGTTAATCCGCGAAACCCAATTCAGCTTCATCTCAATACTCAGCCACATATTGCCAGTAACAAACAGCAGTAACGACTTGGAATACTAGATTGGCATTAGCCACATCAGAATAATCCAGTTTTTTTTCGTAATCTTTTACGTTGAGGGAAATGGTACAGAATCAAACGCAGGAAAAATTTGGCTCTCTACACCACTGGGGAGTTTACAAGTTTAGAAGTAGGACTCAAAGAAAGCGGTCTACTCAAACTCAATTCGTATATCGTGTTATTTAAAGGCATGGCCCTCTCTTCTAATATTTAAATGCTTCAAATCCCATGGGTATCTATAGTGAATTTTTCACTAACACTCTGCTTAGAATTCCCTTTCATTTGGGATGACATGATTAAAAAAATGAATGAAATTCAATTATGGAAATGCACAAGGCCGAAACCCAATTCAGTATGGAGCACGCAGGGAGAATCGTAAATGACCTTAGTGAGAATAATCTTGCTAACCATTACACCACGTCGTAGTGCCAAACTTATACACTATGCTGGAGTTTACAGAACTTACATATGTGCATACATATTATAGTTCGAAGAAAGTTCTATGAGGTACGCACTGAGGATCGAACTCTGTACAAACAAACAAAATAAATTGTTTAACATTTACCTACAAGTTGCTACTGTTAATGCTTCAATTCTCCAGTACTGGGATTAAGAACTGCTTTCTTTTGACTCGAGCAAAGGGAAATAAATCTACTCATTTAATTTCATTGTATTTATTTATATAATATTAAGGAGACATTTTTTCCTGTAAATTTTCTTTTTTTTTTACTGTTGTTTTTTTTTTTTTCGTTTTTGCAGAGTTCTTATATTTGTATGTTTTTCTATGCAGATAAACAATATGCGACCATCACCAAATCCTTTTATACATTTAAAAACATGTCTGCCACAGAGTCATAGGCTGGAGGGCTGTTAATTACACAAGAAAACTATGCAGAAAATTGTTCAATGGCGTTGATCTAATGACTGACCTGGTTAATGTGTAATATAGTCTTCCTTCCTTTTAGCTGTTCGAAGCGTGGCTGTTAACTATAAAAGCCAATTAAAAATAAGAACTGTTCAGTTGACATTGACTTTTTTTACGTAAATGCATTTTAGAGGCTGGTGTTTTCAGGAATTTTTATGGATAATAAAAAATATTAAATATATTGAAATAAAAAAAAATAGTTTTGAAAGAAAATTAATGAGAATTTACCAGAAGCACCGAATAATTTTAGTTTAATGTGATGAATGTATTTTTTGATTAAATTATTCTTGATGTGATTTTCTGTATGTGGATCTGAGGGGTTTGCTACTGATGAGAGACAATGTTGAATACGAAATGTTCTTCAGGACAGCGAAATTGAATAGTTACAAGCAGAAATGAATTGGTAATGAAGAATCCCCAACAACAGGCTTCCCTCTCGTTTGGAACAATTAACTGGCCTGTTCAGTCATTTCATAAACATGGATTTTAGTATGGATGAATATTATGAGGAAAAAGTAAATTTATTATAATATATGCATAACAAAAGAAGTAAGAATGACGGTAGAAGAAAGAAAGAAAGAAAGAAAGAAAGAAAGAAAAGGAATGAATGAAAGAAAGAAGAAAGGAAAAGGAAGAAAGAAAGAAAGAAGAAAGAAAGAAAGAAAGAAAGAAAAAAAAGAAACAAACGTAATGAAAAAAGAAAGAAAAAAGGAAAAGAAAGAAAGAAAGCAAGAAAGGGATAGAAAGAAGGAAGAAACGAAATGAAAGAAAGAATGAAAGACAAAAGGATAGAAAAAAGAAAAGAAAGGAAATTAATGGAAAAAAGAATTTAAAGAGAGGTAGAAAGAAAGAAAAAGAAATGGAATGTATGAATGAAAGAAAGAAGAAAGCAAAAGAAAGAAGAAAGGAAAAGAAAGAAAAAGGAATGGAAGAAAGAAAGAAAGAAAGAAAGAAAGAAAGAAAGACAAAGAAAGAAAGAAACAAAATGAAAGAAAGACAGAAGAAAGGAAAAGAAAGAAAGAAACAGAATGAAAGAAAGAAAGAAGAAAGGAAAAGAAAGAAAGAAAGCAATAAAGAGAAAGAAAGAAGGAAAGAAAGACAAAAGGAAAGAAAGAAGAAAAGAAAAGAAAGAAAGGAAATTAAATGAAAAAGAAATTAAAGAGAGAAAGGAAGAAAGAAAGAAAAAGGAAAGTAAAGTAAGAAAATGAAAGAAAGGAAATTAAAGAAAAAGAAAGAATAAAGAATGGAATATATGGTAATGTAAAGAAAATTAAGAAAAATAAAAGTAAACGAAGGAAAATTAATACAGCAAAAAATTAAAAATACAGAAAATTAAAAGAAGTCAATACAGGAAAAAGAAAAAAGAAAGAACAATTACGAAAAAATCGAAATATTAAGAAAATAAAAAGAATAAATTGAGAAAGAAAGAAAAAAGAAAAAGAAAAATTAACAAAGAAACTAAAAAATTAAGGAAAATAAATAATATGAACATTTTAAAAAATCCATATTATTTATTTATCATTATTTTTTACGAAAAAAGAAAGCATATATAGAAACAAAGAGAAGAAAGTTAAAAGAAAATACGAAAGAAAGAAAGAAAGAAAGAAAGAAAGAAAGAAAGAAGAAAGCTTTAAAAATATTAGAAAAATCAAAAGTAAAGTAAAAATTAAAAAAAAAAATTATGAAAGAAAACGAAAGAGAACAAAATTATCAAAGACATTAGGAAAGAAATTAAGGAAAAGAAAGAAAAAGGGTGAAAAAGCAAATAAAATTAAAATGAAAAAAAAGAAATAAAAGTTTAATACAAAACAGAAAATAATTTGGAGAAATTAAGAAAGAAAGGATAAAATGAATTAAAAAAACGTAAGAAAAAATTACAAAAAATTAAGAAAAGTACAGCGAAAATTAAAAAGAAAGAAATAATAAAAAAAAAGAAATAAAGTAAATAAAAAATAAAAATTAAGAAAGAAAGAAAGAAAGAGAAATGAAAGAAAATAAGAAAGAAAGAAAATGAATTCTATGAAAGCGTAAGAATATTTTTGGAAATATATATAATCACATAATATTAACAGAAAATAATATCTTTGCCAATATAAAATCATTGTTGTTGTTATTATTATTATTGCTGCAGCTGCTGCTGTAGTTGTTGTTGTTCTTCTTCTTCATCATCAGCAGTGTTCCCATCTATCTAAAGTGTCAAACGTCTCTACTACTAGTATATCCAACTCTGTCCTATTCTATCTTATTCTATTTGCTTTAATCATATCTATCTGGATGTCTGGCATGTTCTGTGCATGTGTCTGCATCTGTGTATTTCACTTCATAACCGATTATTTATATAGTATAAGATTCATCTTTTTTCTCCTTGTCTACTTCTCACATTTTGACGTCATTTGAATAATCAGTATTTATTAACTCTCACCAAAAACCCAGCTCATCAGATCATTTCTATATGTGATTGGAACGTGTTTTAATTATGATAGTTATGTGATTCAGTGAACTAGTATTATGTAATTTACAAATGAGATTTTCTTTATCCATTTATTTATTTATTTATTTTAATTCGACGTTTAGTTCCTATGATTTCAGTTGACTTTTTTTCTATCGTTTCATCAATAACAGACGATTCATAACGGACAGCTTCTATAATTACCAAAAAACAAGATCAAATTTCGTCTAGACTAATCCTTTATTTTGCAATTCATATTTTTTAATAGCTGCAGAATTAAAACGATATGAGCGATAAAAAAGATATTACGAATCAAAGACGTTAAAAAAGTTAATTACAATTCTTTATGTAAAAATGTTGGAGGGACTAATACAGCCCTTGCTTTAAAATTAAATTTCTCAATTCTTGGTTTATAATCGATCTTTTTGCAGTTACAAATGGTATAATAATTTTCAAAACTTATTCTATTTTTAGTTAGAACTTTTATTGTTTTTAGTAATATTTGAGGGTTTTTCGAAATTTTTGAGTTTTTCGAAATTTTTTCTATTGTTATCTACTTTGAAAAATGTCAAACACCGCGTTATTTTTATAATCTATTTTGATGACTTGAAGATTTTCAAAACTTGCAAATATTCTCTTAATTTTAGTTACTTTGAGAACATTAAAAAATATGTTATTCTTTAGTTATTTTGAAAATTTGAAGAGAATCCTTCCAGTATCGTAAATTGTAATATAGCGTACCTTTTGGATGACTGGCGAAACATTAGTCAGGGTGTCTTTAACACTTCAAAATTCAAATGATATCAAGACACATGTTTGTCTTGAATGCTTTGCATAAATATTCAAAGTGTTCTTTTTTTGTGGAGTCAGGTCATGTGTGCAACAGAGAATAAGTTTTGACTGACTGATTCGTTTTTACGGTTTATCAATGTTTTGTAAACTAGAAAATATACTTAGATTGTAAGAATTTATTTATTTATTTTTAAATAATAACGGTTTAATGATAACAGTCTTACTAATTAACACATAGCTTGAGGGAGACGAGGTGGATCCAAACATTTTTCAAGTGTATTTGCACGGAAGTGAATAAAAATAACAGCGAAAATTAGAACTCTGCTCTCCTATTAAAAAATTCCGAGGCGTTATCCATTATATCACCAGCACATCCAAGCGAATAGTACCTGGTATTTCCAAGCGGTTACCCATCAAAGTACTGATCAAGTTCGAAGTTGCTTAACCTTGGTGATCGTACGGGAACCAATGTTGCAACATCATATAACCGCAAGCGAGTAATAGATTTATTAAAACTAATAGAAAAAAAAGAATTGCATTAAATTAAAAGATACTTTGTGACGCAGAGACTAAAACAAAGAGCGATTATGATAATAACACATTACACGAGTATGACCATCGCGGATAATATATATATATATATATATATATATATATATATATATATATATATATATATATATATATATATATTTAAAAAATGAACACAATTGTACTTTTATTTCATAATTTATCAGTAACGAGTTACAAATAACTAGTACTAGGATAGTTGCTGATGACCAGACTTAACACGCTTCCTCCTTCAGACTTGTACCACATTTATGTAAATAAATATATATTCATTTTTGTTTGCTTACTAAGATATATAAAAAAAACCTTGGTATCTTACAGGCATAAGATTCTCAGAAATGGATAAAAATATTAAAATTGATGGGCGTACGAATGATATATATATATATATATATATATATATATATATATATATATATATATATATATATATATATATAGTTGTATATTTAGGCAGCAATCCTTCGTTTATACATGTTTCATTAAATATCCAGACGCTTTACGTTACACCTATCTGATCATAGTTCCATTAGGACCCATTTAAACACACACAGGAACTTACCAGTCTCCATTAGAAACATACTAGTAGAAAAGACAATAATAACTTCATCCACTTGTAAAAAAAGATTAAAAATAATGAAAGCTCCAATTTTAAAAAAGAAAAAGCCAACTTTTAACAATATTAACTACAAACAAGGCCACAATGTGCTAACCGTATTCGAACATTAAAAACATCTCTACAATACAATAACACATACACATAATGCGCACACTCAATTAAGCTGAAAAATTGAATCATCCTTGCTAATGGCTAAACGTATAGCCGAAAGCGCTCGGATCTATAAAACATTTGGACAGTTTTTACACACTCTTTGTCCAGAAAAGAAAGCTCTTGTTTGGACACAAGAAAAAATTAAATAAAAAGCTTAACCGTAGTACCTTGTATGTTGTTTTAAAATGAAACATGCATATATATATATATATATATATATATATATATATATATATATATATATATATATATATATATATATATATATTTTAGGGGTTAATGTGCATTGTAATATTGTAGTGCCTCTGGGGAATGGCTGCAAACTTGAGGTCCGCCCTAGGCGGCAGAATATCTAGGTACGCCACTTTATGGAACACATTTGAAGTATTTCAGTAGTTATCTCCTGCACTGGTAAGTGGATAGGTTCTTTAAGCTCGGCTAAACTATTGGTATTTTGACGACAAACCTTTGTTTTTATGAAACCCCAATGTAAAATAATCCGGGGTTGGTGTGGGGGATCATCAAAGTTGCATTCTTGAGCATTCTTTATTAATAGGTTTCTGAAAGTGAATGAAAATTTAATTAGAAAAAAATGAAAATCATAAAATTATGAACAATATTAAAAACATGGGGTACCTCGACGTGGTCTAATAGTTAGCAAGCTTGTCTCGCTAATACAATTACGACTAATTAGTAGGTTCGACTCTCATTGGGTTCCACACACTTTCGGCACTGTCCCATATTTAAGCAACTCTGAGAAAATCACCATATTTAGCATGAACAGAAATAAAAGTGAGCTTTTAAAAGAATTGTCCGATTTGACAGAAACAGATATTTTCTTCTTGGACAACCTGTACCTCTCTCTCTCTCTCTCTCTCTATATATATATATATATATATATATGTAAGCAAATATGTGGATATGAAAAACATCGCCCACGTGACGACGACTTGATCATATTTAAATGGAACGCTGATCTTATAAAGGATTTCAGTTATCTGTTTGGATTGGTTTTGCTTTTATGTCCATCGTCTTTTTCATGTTGAATTGTATATGGTCCATGTTAATTATGTTTTATGAATATGTCCTGAAGATGGTCTATTAGACCGAAACGTCCGACGTTGACATTAAACATTAAAACTGCATAATCGCATATTAGGATTTTTGTTTGTTTTTCAGTATATTTTTCTTCATATATATATATATATATATATATATATATATATATATATATATAATATAGTCTACCCTACCTAGACTTAACCACTTTTTCGAATGTAACTCATAATGGATACAATAATAGTTAATAAAAATAAACACGCTACCTCCCCTGTTTAACTGATTGCCTTTCTCTGTATCCTTGGAAAAAAATCATTATGAATTGTATGTGAGTTTAAAACTCATTAAAATTAAAAATAAGTTATTCCAAAATTCGCTTGAAGATGAAACAGAACTAATGCTTTTAGTTCAATTATAGAATTAAATTTAAAGTTTTAGCCTCGGTTTTTGAAACATAGTAATTCCTGTGTAGCGAAGAAAGGACATTTTAAATCAGTTAACTTATAATATTTATGCTCTGCAAATTTACATTGAGCACTGTTTTTGTAAAAATAAAAATCTCAATAAGAACACCGGATTATATATCTTACTG